TCTAACATTCTGTGATTCTGTGACTCTGTCAACCAGTCTCCTAAAAAGGCTGGTCTGCCTTCCAGAAGTTCAAAGTAGCAGTTCTGCTGACCCCCCTCCCTATTTCTCCAAGAACCAAATACTCGTCAACACAGAATCACAGACTGCATCAGTAAAGGAGATAGTCTGGATGTAATAAAAGGTATATTGTTCTTATTATAGCATGTTATAAAAACAACCAATTACAAATTATGTAATTGTCATAATATGTCAGTGTTGTAAAACAACTAAAGCACCAGGATGAACCAAGATGCATCAAACTACTTCCATCTCTTTGTTTTTATTATAAGAGAGAGAACAAAGGATGCTGTTGCTGTTGTCTCTACCTGGCTGCAGGGTCGTCTTCTCAAAGCTGGAAAAGGAGGAGAGTGCAAAGTACCTCCTAGCTTTAACAGCAGTAGAAATAGCTCCCTCTACAAGAGACATTAGAGATGAAGTGGTCTGCAGATGTTTAACATACCTGTTTGACCTGGGAAACCAGGTGGTCCTTTATCACCTGGAAGTCCTGGAAGTCCTCGGGAGCCTGGAGGACCTGGAGGACCTCGTGAGCCCGGAGAGCCTTTAAGACCTTTGATTCCAGGTGGCCCAGCTAGGCCCCTTTCTCCCCTCTGACCTTTAAAGCCTGGTAAGCCTGAGAAAAAGAGCGTTAGTCTATGTATGTAAATGCAGGAAAAGGGTTCAGCAACTGTACTTAAAAAGTAGAAAGTGACAGATTTTTGGTATAAATTTGAATACCATCAAACATAGCAAAATAAATTGGAAACGTTGATACCATGCTGGAGTACTGGCTCTGCCTAGACTTTTCACCTGGAATGTTTGTTTTCTTGTGTTTCTTTAGTGAGAGGCATATCAGTAGAAGCAGCTGTGAAAAATCCCTACTAATTCATAAATACTTTTGATATATATGTCTCCTAGCTCTCCCTAAATAACACTTCCATTTAAGAGTAAGGAAGATAGAAGTATCACAGTAATGACAGGAGCTCAGTTAAGTTACTCAGGACAACAGAATAAGAGATAATTCTTCTGTGTATTACTTGACAGTGAACACACTGTGATTTGGCCAGTTAAGGAACAGTATGGGATGGGAAAGGAAGCTGGGAAACATCTGAGATGCACACTCTTCATTCTTTGAGTTTAAGGAAATGTACAAAACATAATGTATGCCCTCAGTAATGAACAGCCCCCACGGAAATATTTGTTATGCCAGCCACAAAATAATGTGATTAAATCTGATAGTAAAGATGTGCTAAGCTTAGAGCTGTGAGGCAACCCAATGGATGCTGTGTACCTTGAGGTCCTGGCAGGCCCATGACACCTCTGACTCCTGGTGGCCCTGGTAAGCCCATGTCACATGGTGGACCAGGGAAGCCTGGACAGCCTGGTGCTCCTATATCACCTTCTGGGCCTCTAAAACCTTTTGCTCCTGGAAATCCTGGGGTACCAGGCTGTCCTGGAAACAAAAAACATGGTAAAAAGGTGGCGACCCCTCAGAATTCCTAATTGTAATTTTGAAATTTCCATGTTCAGTTATTTTAATACCTTACTTATCCTCTAGTTTTTGCATAGTTGTGAAAACTGATGCTTTTCTGCTATTTAGAATTGACTGTTGTGGAGAGCTTCTTTCTTTAAGGAACAAATACAAATTCAACTCTCACCTAAAGGTGAGCATGACTTTATGGCATGAAAAGCTAGTTTCTGATGTGTAGGAGCAGAATAGAAAGAGCTCACAGGACTGCACCAGCTACACAGAACACAGCTACATGGTTCTGTAGGTGTTCCCTGCACAGAAGGGGGTGTGTGTGTGTGTCTGCTTAGGGCTGGGCAAAAGGAAGACCTATAAAAGGAAACAGCAATGTCTGCTATGAAGTGGGAAGGATGTCCTCAGTGGCTGATCAACCTTAACTGTAAAAATGTAAACGTTAAAAATAGGGTGGTACTGTTCACAATTACCATTATGGATCCAGGTAAGAGTAAGTTTTATCTGAATCAGGACCAACTTTGCTCAGATTTTCTCCTTTGAACACATGGAAATGCTTCATAAAAACTGGCTCATACCTCGAAGCCCAGGAGCGCCTGGATCACCCCTTGCTCCTTGTGCACCAGGGGGTCCTGGCAGTCCCCTGTTGCCTGGGATTCCTGGAGGACCATATGTGGTATCACCTTGAACACCTTTCTGACCGTCTATGCCAGGTGGACCTGGAGGGCCATTTTTACCATCAACTGTAGATCCTCTTTCACCTTCATCACCAGGATCACCAGCTTTGCCTCGAAAGCCTGTTGATATGATTTTTAAATTCAAATGGGCCATAATTCAGAAGGTGGGGGGATTTCTCACAAACTGTGGAATATTATAATGCAGATTTAACTGGAATTAAATTATCACTTTACAAAGAAAAATAACATCATACATTAAATGTAATGTTTCTTATTTACAGCTACTGATACAGGAGGATTGAAGGAGGTAATTATTCCTCTGGGAAGTGACAGTGGTTTTCTTTGGGGCAGCATCTATCTTGTGTACTGTCACTCTTGTCCAGTTCAATCCCTTTGCTAAAATTATACTAATTGTTTTCATTTTTCTAAGAGTATTTCCTCCCTGGACACTGAATTTTAGGCTATTGCAGCACCTGCAGTGCTGGAGGAAAGAAAGGAAAACTGGTAGAGATTCCTTTTCCATTAGCTTTCGTTTAAATGTGCTTCCAGTTCTATTCTACCATGGTAGCTACCTTACCCTGCACGTATGCGTTACAGCTTGACTAGCAGGCCTCCTGCATTAAGAAAAATACAATTCACCTTCTGGCCCAGGGATTCCTGCCCCTGGCCTGCCTCGATAGCCTTTTTGCCCATCAAAGCCATTTGGTCCAGGATGACCGGGGAGTCCTTTTAAACCCTTTGGTCCTGGAAACAGAAATAAAATATGTAAAAAAATTGACAGAGCTCTAAAATCTAATCTAAGGATTTAAATTATCTAAGGAAACAGCATTGTATCTTTATCCCATGCGAGTTCATGTGCTTTGAAGGCAAATGGATTTCATCTGCTTCTAACATTTTGAGCAAGAGCCACCACCTAAGTCACAACAAAAAGCATGGCTGCTTTTTTTCTAAATGGACTTGTTCCCCTATCCATAGACAACAGACTGCAAATCACCAGAGTAAATTAGAAAAAAAGATAACTCCTATAACATTTTAATGTTACAGGACATCAACAGTATTAATCTAGTGAAGGACAGGTGTCAACTCAAGCTCTTATATTGTCCTGGGCTATCTGCTGCTTCTGGAATGATGCAGATGAGCTCAATACACTAATCCCTGTTCGTTCATGGCTGTATAAATTTTCGCTGCCCCCCACAATGCTGATGTTAGGGAGCTGTGTAATACCATATTAAGCAGCTTGAAAATTCAGTATCTCCATTTGTTCTGATCAGGATATTCTGGGGTATTTCAAATGTTTTGGAGGTGATCACAAGCAACATTGTGCCAGTTCCTGGAGGAGTTATTTGAATTTAAATTAAGTTGAACAAGTTGAAGTAATGGTAAGAACTATTCAGATTTTACAGTTCAGTTGCAACTTGCCATGAGCAATATAGTTTTAGAAATTACAGACTTGTAGAATATCTTTGCCTCACAGACCTTTTTTTCCCTGTATCTAGATTTACATATTCTAGGTCTTATCCAACTCCAGTCATCTGTGTATTTTACAGATTCTCTCATGAATTTTAATTGAGGCAGGACAGAGTTTCAAGCTACCTTCATTTAGTAATTTCTGTGGAGGCAGCCTGCACAACTTTTGATTGTGCAAACTGCACCTGTCTGGCCCTTGACTCTGTTAGATGAGTATATTCCGGCGTATTTGCAGATTAACATTTTGAGACACATATTTGTTGAAAAACTAGAATAGTGTATATTTTAAACATAACTTCATTTTTTAATTAGCAACTTAAAATTCCATTTCAATTAAAAACAAAAATTCTCTCATCTATAAACATACCTTGAACACCTTTAAAACCTGGGGGACCTGGATTTCCAGGGTATGGTAATGTAATGTAGACAGTCTCACCTGAAGCAAGAGGGAGAAAGAAACTGGCCTATTTGATTTTACAATAAATGAAGTCTGAACATTTACTGTAATATTTCTGTGGAACTAACCAACTAGATGTGTAAAGGTAAAGAGAAGGGACTGTTTATGCATGTTGTTAGTTCCATGCTGCTTAAGGTTTTGATGGAGAATCTTAAAATATATTTTTCTTGACACTTATTTTGTATAGAACATTGGTAATGATTAAAATTGTTATAATACAGTTATATTCTGTAAAGACAAGTTTCTTTTTAGTTGTCACAGAAATTTGTCTTTACAATAGTCTCTGTTGCAAGAAAGATTGCTATCAGTGTATTTTTTTTTTAGTAGGGATTTTTTATAACCAAAAAACAGACCAAGCCTTAAGTATGAGTTGTATATTGATGCTCCTTTACCACAAAAGCATTGCCTTGCAAATCCTTACAGTCAAACATACTCTTCACTCCAGAAAATAACTCCTCTGCTAGTGTGCAAGTGGGACTTTGTAGGTTTAAGGCCCCTAGCAATTCATATTCTCACTGGTGTCTGCTGCTAAATTCTGACAGTATTGTACCTTTCAGTGGCCACATTGCAAATGACTACCGACCTTGCCACTGTACATAATAATATGAAACTGTAATGGATACTACCAAACATGTATTTTGATATTTGGTTCTTAATATAAACATTCAAAATTACCTTTCTGTCCCTTTGGACCTGGTGGCCCAACATCACCAGTATCACCAAAGTCTCCAGGGCTACCTCTGACTCCTGGAGGGCCAGGAAACCCCAAACCCGGCAATCCCATCTGTCCTTTTACCCCAGGAAGTCCTGGGACTCCAGGGAATCCTTTATCACCTGGCAGTCGTACTCCAGAATCTCCCTAAAAGAAAAAAAAAAACAACTTTCTTTCCTCTCTTTGATTATCAAAAGCCATGTTAGAGAATTACCTGGAGAAACCATTGTTCTATTATTATGTGACTACATGGATGATATTAGTAGGCAACAGGAACAAAGGGTAGAGTTTTGTGGGTGTTTTTTTCTTCCTGATCCCATAATATTGGCACACAGTATATGCAGAAATTACATTCGGGAATACCAAAATAAACAGTAACACTTCCAAGGAAATAATTTTTCAGTTGATAGAAGCTATGAGTTTTGATCTAGGCTAAGACAGAATCTTAATCTGCTAGGAATTTGGAATAAAATGGTACTTTTCATTAAGTAGCTAGCCCCTTCATAAGACAATACGTTGACTGAAATGGAAAAAAAATCTGAGAAAGTCAAACATACCTTAGCTCCTTTTTCCCCAGGCAATCCTAGTTCCCCATCTCCGCCATCATTACCTCTTTGGCCTGGAAATCCTGCAACCCCAGTAGGACCTCTTTCACCTTTTATTCCTTAAAACAATTTGAAAAAAATGTATAACTGCAATAAGTTTGGGGGTTTTCTATCTCTGCTTGGGTAAATTCTGCGTAAAGTCATCGTACTTGTATGATAATTCCCAGTTCTTGAATTCACATTTCTTTAATGAGGTATTTTAGGCTTAGGAAGGCAGTATGTATTTGGACACCTCATGGAACAACTTTGTCTCTCTGTAAAAGATGCGTTTACGTGCATCACAAGAATGGGGCTTTTGTTCATGCTATATATAGAGTGAAAATGTTTTGCTATTGAAATCAATTAGTGTTTTATTCTTGATTTCAGCAAAATCAGGATATAGCTATGCCATATGATGCATAGTATTTGCATCAATATTCCCAGAAGGTTTTTTGTTTTTTTTTTTTAATTCCTAGATTTCTCTTGCACTGGTATTTATTAAAATGTAATTTTTGCATAAAGGATAATAAAACTATTCTAACCCAAAGATTCGTTTTGCTGTGTCGAGAAATCCTTTGCAAATAAACAGCAAATGTTTTGCCCTGCTCCAACATCTGTAAACAAACACAGGCACCAAAGCCTGCTAAGCTAACTTTTCACAAACAGTAAGATGGACACTCTTTTGTCTGAATAATTAGCTTAGCGTTTCTAACTAAGCTTTGCCATCAGATTTCTGTACTTTGTTGTTCTCTCTTCCTTTTGCTTTTGCAAATCATAACCATAACTGTGGAGAGGTTTTGATCTATTTAATTGCAAGAATTTCAGTTGTGCAACTGGTGGCCTATTGTTTCTCTTCAATGTCTGGTCAAGGGTAATTTTTAGAAATAGGAGCAGGAATCTGAATAGCCACGGAGACTTTGAGTTTTTCCCAAGAAGGATGTTGGTGGTTTAAGCTGAGATAATGGCTGGCATACTGGCATATGATGCTTTAGGAGGTGACTTCTACACAATAATATAGGAATCAAAAAGGTTAATGATAAAACATGTGTTTACCTTTTATTCTAACTCTTCCTGTATCGCCCTTCTCTCCTTTTTCACCATGTTGTCCAGCAGAACCAGGTGTCCCCTACCATTGATAAAAAAAAAAGTCAGTTATCTCCAGCAAAGAATCAGTGTGGGAATTGAGGGGAAAATTAGATAGCTATCTCTTGCTCTTGCACTGTTTCCTGAAACCAGACCAATTAAAGTCATGTATCAAAATGAAATTCTTATCTCTTTTGACATCTGTAAAGATGTCCATGAGTGGCACCTGGCCTTTTCAGCCTGTCTCTGCAGAATGCGTAGATATGTAACATAAGAAATTGTAATGCCGGAAGAATTGGGTCCTTGACCATTTATAGCTGTGTCTGTAAGTGCAAGAATATTAAGATGCAAACAATTCACAAACTCTTCCTACTGCAGACTTCAACCCACAATCCACTGAGCCTGCCCAGGAATGGAATCTCTGGAGTGCGGTAACTGCTGGATGAGGCTGTCCTCCCAGAAGTGAAATGGCAGTAGGTAAGTGATGCTTTTTTTTTTTTTTGCTGAAAGCCCACAAAGCTGCCAATAAAAATTTAATGCATCTAGTTAGGTACCTGGTATTGTCAGAAGAATCTATGAGTTGAGGGGTTTAGAGGGGAAGAAAAGTACTTTTCTATATTTTTATGCTGAATTGTGCTCTTAGTTCTCCAAGCAGAGTGCAGTTTGTATATACTAATTTGTGAGGGTCTGATCTTGCAATAGAACGTGTGGGTAAATGTGTTTTACCATGTGAAATTTACATAGAGTAAAGGGCCACTATGGTTGAAAAACTGGGGTATTATTTAGCCAGTTTCCTGTGTTAGTCAAAATCTTTCACTAAGAAATAGGTAGAGAAGATACAATTTATAAAGTGACTGTAAATCATGACAATTGTAAATCAAGCAGGAGACTTCCGAAAAATGTGGCATATCTGAAACTACCAGTGACTGTGTGTTGAAAAGTCTAGATATTCAGGTTGGCAATGACCAGTTATTAGTGTTTGAAAAGCAAGATTAGATATTTGAGAAGAAAAGAGAGCAGAAAAATGGAAAAAAAAATATAGGAAATCCATTAGATCAAAGCACTTTTGTATCGAAGTGAATTATTTCTTTCCAAACTGCTTACTTTGTTTCTCACTTAAGTACCCTAAGAACACCAAAGTGTTCAGGACAAGGCTTCAGGCTTTACTTCAGAACTACAAGGGCTAAAGCATACATACAAAAGATTGAAATCTCACATAATCCACTCAGGTTATGGGATTCTAAGAAAAAGAAAGTAAAAACAAATGCAAAGCTTATAATGAAATCATTGGAACTAGAATGACAGAGCCTCTCCACATCCTTCTTTCAGTCTCACAATGGTTTTGTTGGTTTTTTTTTTTTTTTCTTTTGAAAGTAGATGTTCTGGAAACCTTTAAACAATTCCTCATGTGAAAAAGAGTTCTGTTATTAAAACAAATCCTCAAAAAACCCAAACAGCATAATGGAACAGTCACAAAGCCAAGCATATATACCTATATTTTCAAATAAATTGCCCATGCACACAAGAAAGTATATTAATAACTTCTCTGGCATAATTTTGGTATGCAGCATCCCGGATGTATAGTCCACATGCCAGGCCAGAACAAATGGAACAAATTCTCAGCAAGTCCAATAAATCATCTTACAAAGTGTTCCTAAAGCAGTTAGATTAAGTGGTGTTTTGAATTATTGCTCACTGTGGGGAATAAGATAAACTATATGAAGCACATGAAATAAAATAAGTCTGTTTCTAAAAGTAATAGCTAGTTTCACTGCATTAGGCAACAAGCATCATCCAGTACATTACTGACCCAGGAAAAATACAGGTTTTGAGCTCAAATTTATTTTGTTTGTTAATCCTGCTGACAGCCACTATTAAAGTAGAAATACACATCTGACCTAAAGCTACCTTTTAAATATTTCTTAATTATTTTCTTCCTCCCACCTTGCCATGAAAAATATAGTGTTTTTCCATGAAAAACTGGATGTCAGATTTGTTAATGCTGGAATGAACTGGTTTTAGGGAAAAAATGAACACTGTAAGCTGATGTCAAATGATTCTAGTACTCAGAATCTTTACAACCAAGAAGTTCATTCACTTTCTGCTCTTGTGGAACTTTAAATTAAATTGTTACATTGCAAGGAAGCTGTTCAAGCAAATGAAAAGTCATTATTTTGATAGTTATAGTAGTTTTTAATTCTAAGAACTCTTAAATCAAGGGTGAATTTTTATTCAATTTCATCTTCATGTCTAATATCTATGTCATAGAGAGAAAAAGCATTGCCTACAGTGGCTGATTCTTGTGGAGAACAAACGTTTGGCTGAGTAGTGACTGAAACCAGGAGATTATAAAGTAATATGGAACAGCAAAGGGATAAACCCTAACAAATAATAATGCCTTTCAGACTCTGTGGGAGTGAAAGACTCTACATTATGTTCAGATTGCCTCATAAAATAAATTAAACATATCAAATTAAGCTTTTCAATTAATTTCTAAAAAAAAAAAGGAATAAAGAAAATTACTTGAAATGTCTGAATAAAATCAAGGCTTCCTTTTTCTTCAGACCCTGCCCCCCCAGGTGGATGTTGACATCAAATCCATCTTGACCTGCTGACATCATGCAATTCTTTGCCTTGGTAGGGTTTTGCTGGAAATGCTTTCCTTTGAAATAGCTGAAAAATCACCTCCAATGGAGCAATTTGTGCATCTACAATGTTTTCAAGAAGAACAATGGGTATTCAAAACTAAAAGTAAAAAGAAGTCAAAACCAAACAAGAAGAATATTCACCAGCTTTCCTAAGCCTCCTGACCACCCCACAAACATGGCATGGGATTCTGTCCCTCAGTGTAAAACTCTGTCTACTGCTGGAAGGGAAATCAGATCGCAGCTAATAAAATGCATCCTCCAACAAGACTGTAATAAGCAAAAGTAGACAGAACTTTCAGATTGTTTTCCAGGGCAGTTCCTCTGTCATTCTGATTAAATGCCTCCCGTGGTACCTTGATGTTATTTATTACTGAAGGTCATGAAAACTACTCACAGGGAGCCCTGGTGATCCCACTGCACCAGGTGAGCCTGGGTCGCCCTTTTCTCCATGTCTTCCAGGGTATCCCATTTGTCCTTTCTTTCCTTGAGTACCCGGAGGTCCTTGTATCCCACGGGGACCAGGAGGACCAGCGCTACATGAGCAGAGGCCTCGATTTCCTACGTGAATGTGTCAAAAGTACATTGAAACAGTTGCAAAATTAACACACAAAAAGTAACACTGCACCTTTTCTGTGCACAGACCATTTTATTTCATTATGGCCTTCAAAGGAGTGAAGCGTATCAGTCTCTTTTTACAGTGCTGAGCAACTGCTGCACCGGCATGACTCTACTGACTTAGAGGCCCCAGTGCCAACAGGCCATTTAACTCCACACTTTGATGGGCCTTATCCTTGCAAATTTAGGTCTGACATATCTGGCAAAGGTCTCGTATTCAAATTGTTGCTATCCAGGCATACTTACCCTTTTCTCCTTTTTCACCTTTTCTCCCTGGAAGGCCTATCTGACCTTTTGCTCCAGGTTCTCCAGGGATGCCTCTGTCAGTACAGATTACACCTTTGACAAAACAAATTGTACAGCTAGTATAAATCAGGTTGACTGTTTCCGTAGCCTATGTCACGTGCTCTCCTCTCCCTTATCTTGTTATCCTCATGTGAAAAGCTAGAGATCTTACAAAATGCTTTACAAGTTGTTGGTTATAGATCATACAAGAGTCAGTCTGGCTAGAGCTGATGTTGACACGTTTCTTTTTCATTGCCACTACTTCTTCCTTTTTCCACTGTAGAACTTTACAACTCTTCTGTCTTTACTAAAGGATGCTGATTTGCATTTCCTCCCCACTTTGCTATGGTTTGAACTTCAGGTGATATATTTTTAGGGACATTTCTCATATATATGACTTTGTGGGTTTAAATCACCCAGAAAACTATGAAAATCTTGATGTCTCACTGATCAACAACTATAATCGGAAAAACATGTTTTCTACATCACATGAAAAGTTTGATATAACTGTAAAAATGTACTTTTCACCTCTGTTTTTTGTAGCACCGACAAAAGCAATGAATCTATTAATATGCAGAATGATATTCTTGCCACATAAATTGCTGTTGAACCTACTGGGTAGTCCAGGTAAGCCTTGTCTTCCTGGCTGCCCTGGTAGGCCTGGTGGTCCAGGAAATCCAGGTCTTCCTGGGATTGGTTCACCTGTTCCAGGGAAACCAGGGTCACCCTGAAAACCTTGAGGTCCTGGTGCCCCACTTACTCCTGGCAGACCAGGCAGACCTATAAAGAAAATAATGGTATGTGACCTGTACAGCTTCGCAGTAACAATTACTACAAGATAACAATGAGGAAATTACGGAGCATTCAGAACTGTCCTAAATAAGAGCTTCTATAAAACAAAGACTTAAGTTTAAATCTTTAGGTTTTCCAGGATTCTCAGGAAAAGAGGCTCCTGCTTTAGACCTTCAAACACTTCTTTTCCTCCTCCCAAACTGTCTCTTTTCCAGACACCCCAGTTCCTTATATAGAGCAAAGTCATCTTTATCACCTTTCTTTATATCTTTTTGATATGGAGAATAGAATTTTTGAGCAGAGCACTCCAGATACAGGCATACCATGCACTTACAGTGCATGGTAGCATTCTACTTTGTCTTCTGTTCCTTTTCTAGTAATTCTTAATGTTCTACTTGCATCATTTTGGTTCTTTTTTTGGCCACTAAGTGCTGAGCTAATATTTTTATTGAACTTTCTGTAGAGCTCAAATTCTTATTCTTGGTGACTTGCATCAAGCAAGAACAAAGAACAGTTTTCTTTTAGCTGCTTTCTCTCCTACTGGAATATAGTTCACGTTTTATCCCCTACTTCTCTTACTTGTTCCGTCATCTCCTGGTCTTCCTAGCAGGCCTGCAGGACCAATTGGTCCAACTGACCCCATAGCACCTGCAGGACCCGGAAATCCAGGATCTCCTTGTGGACCTACACAGAATTATAAAAAAGATGTGAATTGAATACCTTATGCAATTGACAGTTTAAATGTAAACTGCAACTGAAATGATAATTTGGGAACTACACAAAAGTAAAATACAGTCACTTCTCTTGTCTTTATGAAACATTTCTGAATGTGTAACAATTTAATTTTAGGGTGGGAGGATTTGGTTCCTTTTCTACAGATTCCTGCCCTTTTCGTGGGCACAGTTTTAACTCTTCATCACTCCATTGTAGTAGCTTTGTGCTACATATTTCAGAATGCCAAGATAAGTGTTTGTCCAAAACAAATACATGTAGCATTTAAAATAAACGTCTATCTCATGTTATGCACATTTGGCACTGCAAACAGAGAGGTCACTTCACGGTCATCCTAGTTGAATATATCAACATTTTAAAAAGTATGTATTTTCAACATTGCTATAGTGAATAAATTTAAAAACTGCAATTGCATAGTGATAAAGAAAACATGAATCAGATATAAAGGGCTTCATTAAATTGGAAAAACAAAACATTGGTAGTAGTTCTGTTCTCAAACAATTCTGCTAAAGGCCTCTTTCTGTGAAGAATGTATCCACTTGCACACCATGCAGATGATTAATTTTAAATGTCACTTGACACACTAAGCATGGGAATAAGTCTCTTCTTGCATGGGCTGGAAACACAGAAGCCAATGGAAAACAAATGTAACTGATTTGTTGATGCGGCCACTATCTAATAGGGAGGTTCTGCTGAACTGTGGTTGCGTTGTAACTTACTTCTGTGTTTATGATCGGCATTTGCTGCAGTAGAAACACAATTTATGGTAAGTTCTCTGTTAAAAATGTTCTTACAATACAGATTCCCCCAAGTGTGAGGTGCCAAAGCAAATCCCTCCCAGAGAGCAAGTTTGGCTGTTCCCCACTGCCTCCTGCTGTGAAATAAGGACTTCCACACACCTTTTCACCAACTGGATGATAAAGATGGGGATAAAGGGAGCTGGGACATAAAAACCCAGCCTGAGGTTTAGGTAGGAAGCTAATAAGATTGACAGGCATTCTGTTGGGAGTACTAGTTCCAGGATTTCACCCCTGCTATGTAATAGGAAGCTTAATTGTAGTCTAAAATTTGTGTGTTGTCGCAATTCTGAAAACAGGAATTCTAAATTACAATGGGAGGGCCAATTTTCTTATTTGCCATCCATTATCCAGCATGGGCTTATTTTTCATAGCTTTTTTCTTAAATATGCTTAGGTCCAATAACTAGGGATAGTCCTGCAGATCTAGCTGTGACTGTATGCATAAAGATCTTTCAAGCAAACATTTAATCTAAAACTTGTATGTTTAATGTAGTTCCAGTAAGATCAGAGAGACACAAACAAACACAGAATGTGGCCACTAGGAAGATAATGGTTTAGGATCCTATCCCCTGAATTTCTAGTGATCACTTTCAAATATCTTTAGCACAGTAGGTCCTACACACTTTATAGTAAACAGAAAGACTAGTTAAAACTAGCTATAACCTTTTATAGGAAGCAGTGGAGTTCCAACAGCTCCAGGAGGACCTGGGGGCCCCTTTGCTCCTGGATCCCCCTGTAAGAGTCCAACAATAAATTTTACTGATAGATGCAAATATGCAGTGTGCTAGTATGTAACTGAAAATTTCAACAATGGTAGATTATGTAAGGATGTGACACATCACCTGGGAAACTCAATTTTGACACTTTATAGCATTTAAAACCAGGCAAAAGATTTAAAATAATCATTATCTTTCAGGATATGAGTGACTAAACAGTAATATACCTATCACGCAAATGTATTTGACTCTTCAGAACTTGTGACTGCTGTATTTGATTTAATTCATTTATTGTAAAGACAAATCAATTACAGTAAATCAGTACCCATTTAATTGTCACGTTTTGATTTAACCACCAAGCTGTAATTATTTGCCTTAAAATTCTATACCAGAATTTGGAAATTGCTTCTATGATGACAGATAAGCGTTAAGAAAAGAGGTTTTGCAGTCTGACATATTATTGATGGTAAGAGGTACTCAGAGCTCTTATAAGAAGTTGAAAACATCTGCATCAGGGTAACATAAAAGAGCCTACTAATGGCAAGGAAAATCACTTCTGCTTGGAGGATTTCTAAATTAGCTTGGATCTTGATATGTAGAATTGCAAGTGAAGTGGACTTTAGGGAAGTCTTTTATGTGGCAAATTGTATTAGAATTTTTGCTTTGTAGATTAAGAATCAAACCCACCCTCTGCAGCAAATGGGAACTGAGAAAACAAAAATGTGAATGTGGGAACCGCATAGTGAGGTAGCATTCCTGGGACTGGAGTTCAGGGCCTTTTAGGACACAGACAAGGAGAACTGGGACTGCAAAAATGGATACCCATTCTTATACAAGTTAAGACAAGGAGTCCGTGCCTCTTTCTGGGTTGTTTTGGTTTTTTGTTTATTTTGTTTTGTTTTTTTACTTGATATCTCTACAATATTTAAACAGTTTTGGAGCTGTCACTGATTGCTGTCCTCTTGACCTTTGGCTGGGCTTTTTCCTTTCACTGTATCTTGCAGAATGAAATAACATCCTTGTGTTGTCTTTGGCGATTTTAAACAGGAATGTAAATTTGTCTTCCCTAATGACATAGAAGAAGTGTCTTCTATATGGCAGGAAAGAAAAAATAAAACTAGTGTTTTCCCTTCTCTGATAAACTTACAAAGTATATTGAGATTTAAAATTACTGTAATGATGATAAAAGTATCAAAGATTTGTACAATAGATGGATTATGCCCCCAACTAAAACAACATGCATATCAGGGTGAGTACTTTTTAATAACAAAACACTTAAGGTTTGACTCCGCTTTAGGGGAGTAAGGGACTGGAATGATTTTTCTGTTTCAGTAAGATATGTAGTGTTTCTGTCTAATTAGTATCTGAATGAGCCCACATTGTTGTGAAGCCAATAATGGGCAAATGGGAGAAAAATCAACATCCATGGGCCATTTTTTTTCTCCCAAGTATGACTTCATAAATGAAATGTTGGCTGAAGAAGCTGATCTAGCACTCTCCTGGCAGTCCTAACTTTGAAGATAAGCTTGTGAGTAAAACAGATGTTTTTATTGTAGTTTTACTTATTTACTCCATGTGTTTGTCATTTCTCATTTGTAAACCTGCTTCTTGAAAATCTGTTTGTTACTTTTTATTTGTCTGCTTTCAACTGTGGCTTTAGCAGTATACTGCTAATGGCAAGTTTGGACCAACCACAGTTTACTTCCTTTTGTCATCACAGATTACGTAGAGTGTGTTCCAGTCTTAACCTTCCATTTATAACAGAGGTGATTCTTGCTCAAATATCTTGAGCGTCATTCCTCTGATTTCACAGGTGCAGCTAATCATGCATTAAGAAAAGTTACTCTCTTATATGCAGCTTTCCAAAAAGATTATTTCAGAGGGAAATAAGCATGTCTTGACTTTTGTATTTCTGAGCCAAGTTCATTAGTGTCACAATTTCTGCAATATTGTTTTTGTCCTCTGTACTGTGGTAATAACTTTGATCAGGTTTTTCAATCCTGTTGTCTCTACTGATGATCTTCTCACCCACCTGCTTCATTGCAGCATTTCACTTCTCCTCTTGCTCATACGTAGCTGACCGCTTGGACCCTATCCCAGTGACTCCCTAGACCTTCCCCCTGGCTAGATTCACTACTGCTTTGCTCCTTCTAGAGTAGCATCCAGAGGTAGTTTTTCATTCTGAATGTGCTCTAGTATTGTGGATTCCACAGAAAATATAACAGTTCCCTTCATTCAAGTTTTTGTTCTTAATCAGAATTACAGTATGACCCAGTAGTCAGAATTACAATATCATCATCATTTCTGCAGCGTGCAGAAGAGAATTCCACAAATTTATACCCTGAAATGTCACTAGACTGGCACCTGAGTCTTCTGAAATTGTATTAAGCACCTCTTCCATGTTTTTCAGATTAATATTATCCTCTTTCACTGCCTAGCTCCCTGGATGTGACACCTACACTTCTAATCTCTAACGGAAAGCAGCATGTAGTGTAAAATAAAAAATAGGTAGCGTCATCTAAGTGAGCAAAAGCAGGAAATGTTTAAACAAAGCTGGTGTGAAGGAGTCCAGTTTCCATTCTGGTAAGCATCTTGGAAAAGTTACTTATGTGAACAGGTTGAACACATGCAAAGAGATTTTGGTACGTCATGCAAACCAGCCCCTCTGAATAAAAATTTGCCACCTCGTTTGGTGCCAATTATCATATTAGATAGACCATACTAGATACACAGACAAAAGTTGATAGGATCATACTGTTACCTAAATAGCAGGTTCCTTTACCTAGCACACCTCTCTGGGGAATGCAGCTCAGCCATGAATAATTTGCAGGGTACTACAGTTCATGGATTAGATAGCTATACTGGTATAGTTAAAGGTAACTTTTGGCAATTGGGATTAATCAGTTCCTATGGTACAGAAAATGGAATTCCCACTCTCATATGCACCAAGCAGGAACGTTTACTTTTTTATTTGCTATCACAGTGTTGAGTAACTATGACTGTCATGAAAACAGTAGATCTTAAAAATAATTATGACTGTATAGAAGGAAATGGTCTGATAAGCATGTACATTTAGGAGGAATCATTAGCATTTATATAGAGGATTGTGTGTGTACATGCATAGACATGTGTGTTTGTTGGGTTTCTTTACCTGTATGCCTGGATAGCCAGGTTGTCCAGGAAAACCATCAAATCCTGTTTCCCCCTGGAAAGGATCACATAAATATAATTTCATTAGTCCGTTAATACATTAATATAATCAACTGAACAAAAACCAGTAAGGCAGTCATAGGATACTGTCATGTTACAATAGCATCCACAGTTTCTTTCTGAAAATTCACTGGGTTTGTACAAGAGTTGGTATGTTTCATAGAATCTATTCTTTTTACCATAACATGTATCGCAAGGGTAGTGACTCAGTGTAGCTGGGGCACAGAACTAGCTGGAATACATACCAGCAGACTCTAATAGACTGTCTGCTTAATACAGCTGAAATCGGCTTGCTGCCTGCTGAATGACCCTCTTCACCTATTATCACATGGGAAGCAGCTGTACAACAGCTGCTCCTCACCTTTTATGATCTAATAATACACTCATCCATTCAGTATTCAAACTCTTTAGGTAGGCAGTGGTAAAAAAACAAAGTAAAAAGTAATTCTGCAGATAAAACAGTCACCTGGAACATAACTGTAGATGCAAATATCTGTACATCAATGTGCTTTACGTGTAGCATGATCATTATCTTAACTAAATTTGAAAATGAGCTGGGGAGAGGAGATAGGAAAAAGGGCAAGATGTAGCTCTGCATACCTGCATCTGTTGTTCTCTACTCCAGCAAGATGTTTTGAGTTCATAACTAACATTTAGCAGACTTAACAGCAACTGGGATATTTTGAGCCAGAAAGATGAACAAAACATGCATATAACACAAAATTATACAAACAATGTCACCATGGCAAACAAAATTAACATGCTGCATAACTTCTCCATCATGCTATATGCACATCCTGCTGGCTTTTCCTCCTGCTTGCAACTTCAGATCCCATTACCTAATTTCAGACAAATTTCAGAGTAGTAGAAATTCAAAGACAGAGTTCATACAAATTCTGTGGCAACAGGTAGCAGGAGAGAAAGGAAGGAATGTAATGTGACCTATCAAGTATGTGGAAATTCCAAATCTGTACAAATCCACAGAAAACCAAATTTTACTGATTCCACTGTTCATGGAGCTGCCTATATCATCTTACCTTCATTCCAGGAAAACCTGCAGGTCCATCAGAACCAGGATTACCCTGATAAAAGCAAGTAGAATGTGAGCTAAAACAGTAGAAGTGTATCCAAAATTACACCTATTCAGAACTTCTGAGCAGTTAATGTTCCTTAGTTATTACTTAGGATATTTCCCAGTAATATTATTATTCAGGATTGCCGAGTAGTTAATACTCCTTAGAAAAATATTACTTGGGATATTTCCCAAAGGCTTGGCAAAGTTTTGCAAGTACTTTATAGAGAATGGGCATGAATTTGAACTATAGATCAAAGTAAACCAGACAGGTCTTCAATTAATTTTTTTTATCATATTGCACCAAACACAGTAGTGGACATGTTGCTCCATGTGAGCACTGTTACCCAAACTAAGCACAAGCTGCTGTAAAAAATTGCCATTGGCATGTATGGAATACGTTAAAATTACTGTGTCAGTACTGTGCTACTCCAGAGCAGCTTTGTGCAGCTCTAAATATTTAGAGGATAATGCTACAGATTTAGTTTCTTTCCAAAGACTGAAAGTCTTTAGGAGTTTATGTTTAAGTCTGAGACAGGGTGAGTCCCAGGGCAGGACTCCTAAATGTTCTATACAGAAAGTATGACATATTCATTCAAAAAATCCTTAAAATCTTTCTTGGAAATGCAAACTTAAACTGTCAAATATATTATGAACCTAATTACAGTGAATTTGTGAAGTAATTTTTTCTGCAACTTCCTTACCTGCAATCCA